AAAAAAAAAAAAAATAAAATCAGCTAAAATGTAACTATTTTCCCCTGCTCAAAGGACTGGAAATAAATCAAATTAATGTATTATATTAGAAATCTGTACATCTTCTGCAGAGAATTAACCACAAACCAATACCTGGTGATTTGTAGCCTATGGTAGTTTTCATAATTAAGGATTTTTTTAGGAAATAATGGTAGGTAAGACATCAGAACCACATGTGTTGGTTGCAAAGAACTGAGAAACCCATTCTAAATGTTCCTGTTTGCACAGCAGGCTTGGACCAGCTGACATCCAGGGGCCCCTTCCAACCCTACCATTCTGTAACTAGATGTTTTTCAACAAGAATGCTGGAGGGAATAAATCAGTTCTGGACTTAGTAAATTGCAAACATATAATAAACTCCCAGCAATATGCTGACTGCAGTGTTTTTGTTTACAGCCTTTGACACACGCAGTTATAGGCTGCTGTACTTTCCCCTATTAGACCTATTCCCCTGCTCAGAAACTGAGGGAATTACAGGAATACATAACAAACAACTAAGAAACATCAACCTGGCACTGGCTGAAGAGAAATGGGTGTTTCTTTCCGGAAGTTTGCTCTGGAGTAAACCACTGGAGAGCTGAAGACTTTGGAGAGCTTTCAAAGGAGATTTCAATAATTGCTTCTTGTCCCCTGTACAGTAAAGAACACTGTCAGTTTTGACATGACTTGCAATCGCTTCTGAAATTCCTCTACAAAGCTTTCAGGAAAACAGTCTGTCATACTGTCTCAGAAGCACTGAGAACAGTAAGAACAAACAACTTCCCTTTTTTAATTATGACAGTGAAAGTCATTTGTTTTATTTCAATTTTAACACCACACGATGCTTCCATTCTCCTTTTCTACAGTTCATGGAGAATGAAGGCGACTTCTTTTGACTCCTTAAACCAGCTAAGTTTGTAGTTTCCCCAAAACTATGTAAATATAAAAAACCTCAATGCAATAAGTAAACAAAAAAGCATAGAAGGCCTGTATAAGAACATACACACCATAATAATGAAGGATTTGAACATTCTTCAAATGCAACCCTTAAGAAGAAAATTGTTATAATCAGTAATTTCTGCACAGAGAAGTACTTGCATCTGTTACCTGAAAGTTACAGGCTATACAAACTGCTCCTGGGAATTAACAAACCAAACATATCTCAGCACAAAATCCAGGTAATCAGTGCTGTTGAACACCAGATAAACTGACCAGGTACACATATCTAATTTATAACTAACATTCCAAAGTACGTATCTGAGAGCAAAAGAAAAAGCAATCTGTACTATCATAAGGCACACATGCTCACTGAACAGTCAGCCTTTCAGTTGTAATTCTTCACCTTCCTATCATCGCTTTATTTTGATTTCCAAGGAAGACTATGTCTAACATGAGATTATAAATGCTTACAAGAAAGATTAGTCTCTATTTGTGACTTTATTGTTGCTACAGTGAAAAAAACCAGATCGAAGCCAAACAAAAGAAACAACTCTCTGTATCTCCACTGTCACCTATTTATTCAAGGACTTAATTCTTTCAGTTTGACATTCATTCACAAGCATTTCCCCAGAAGGGACAGATGCCTTACTACATTCCTTTTTCTTCCACAATCCTACAGATTAAAGATGAGTTCATAGAGACAGGAAGCATTTTGTTTCTTATTGTTTCGTATTCAATTTCCTGGACAATTTAATTCAAACGAAAGGACCTCTCCATAACTCACAGCTTTGGGCTCTAGCAGGTGAGATGGTACAGAGTATTAACAACACAGCAAACAGCCAAAAATGTATCAATTTGGCAATGGTTTTTTATTTCATGCTACTCAGAAGAAGTAGATTACAGTTACAAGCCCCTCTCTTCATTGTACTTGGGCTAGATAACACAATAAAGATTTTGATATTTGAGAACATGTTGGTATCTAATCCCAGGTGTAACCTGCAGTTTTTAGGCAATATGGGGTCAGTCTTTGCATAAAGGAAAGGAAAACAGTCTGTATTTCCGCAGGCTTCATCCTGCAGCAACTCATCCAGAGTGCAGACAGCTGAGCAAGGTGGACTCCTGCAGAGGAGAAGCATTAAAACACTCCACCATCCAGTCATTTGAAACCCTGGATGTTGGTACAGACTCCTGAACGTTTGCCTTTCTACTGAAGGCCAAATATGAAACTCACCTACGAGATCACACAGCAATGAAACTCACCACTTCGACACGTCCCTTTGCAAGCTTTACCCAAAGACTCCACAAGCAGAAAAGCAGCTTATGCAGCATGCTTTGGAAAGCATTTGAAAGAGCAGGCACAGGGCATACCTTCTCATCTCGAAGGGGAGCGTGATTTCCAGGGGGGTCCCCTTGAAGCTGTGCTTTTCCCCAAAAGCAAATTTTGCATCCTGTCCGTTTGCAGTCACTTTAAATATCTGGAGGTCTTTTGTATCCAAAACCTGGAAGGAACTGAGTAGCGTTAAGGACTGGCACGGCCTTCCTCGTACCTTTGTACCTTAAACACGAGTCTGCCTGAAGAGGGAAGCATTTACATTTCTCAGGCAGAAATAGGGAGGCAAAGCAAGCACGCTGAGCGCTGGGAACTGAAATCTGAGGACAGCAGTGCTGAGGTTAAAGGCTGGAAGGGGAGTCTGCAAGGAAACCAAGCATACAAATCCCAGGAGACCCAAACCTGGCTTTGTTTACCTTATATAAAGCTCACGAGGCTCGCACTTTTAATTGCATACTCTGCGAAAATAACTGGCAAAGGAAAGAGCCGTAAGCGCAGCGTTCTAATAGCTTATTCCCACTCCTTCGCCATTTTAAGGTGAAAACACCGCGTCCCCTCGGGGACGACACGAAGGGAAGAGCAGGCAGAGCGGCGAGGCGGCGGCCGGGGCTAAGAAACGGAAGAGCCGCGGCGCTCCGAGCTGACCCCGCACCCCCACGCTGGGCCCGCCCGCAGCGCGGCGGTGGTCGCTCCCTCTCGCCCGCCCGCCGTTACCAGGCAACGCAGCGCGTCCCGCTCGGCGCGCGCGGTGAAAGCCGCCGTGCCCCGCAGCGCGTGCGCGCCGAAGTCCACGCGGCAGCGCAGGTGGAGGTGGCGCGTGAGGCAGCAGGAGGGCGACGCGAAGGAACTCGGATCCGAAGCCGCCATCGCTCGCACGCGCTCTGCGCCCCGAGCGGCAGTCGCGGGCCATGCCGCCGTCACCGTCACCGCCCCGCCCACCGAGGGCAGGAGCAGGGCGGCGCGCGGGGCTCTGGGAAGCGTGGTTTTGCGGTCGGTTGGATTGGTCTTCGGCAGCGCGCTCGGAGAACTACAATTCCCATAGCGCATCGCGGGAAAAGGGGGAGAAGGCAAGGCGAGTGTGGAAACGTAACCGAACCAATGGAAGCAGAGCACAGCATACGGGGAAGGGATGTAGCGGTAGCTACGAGAATCGCTTCCGTACAGTTCCTCGTTAGTATAGTGGTAAGTATCCCCGCCTGTCACGCGGGAGACCGGGGTTCGATTCCCCGACGGGGAGGTACGTAATTTTTTTTCCCCTTCGATGTAAAAAGTAACTCTTTGTGAAATCAAGGCTGTGGCTGCTGAAGAAATAAAAGCCTCCTGGAACAGTACCCCAATTTTAGGAAACAGATATGTACAGAAGAAAATTATTCCAGTCTTCTTTGTCCACTTCTGTCAGGACTGGATGGACTGCCTGATTTGAGGTACAGCCTGCTCAGCTACTTATCTGAACTAGTGTGCGGGAGTGTACTTTTGTACTTAAACAGCTCAAACAGCTTTTGCAGGTGAAAGCCCTTCCCCTGAGAATGCATACAAATATTGAATCAGCGGTGTTATAGTTGTATGTAAATGACTAATTAATAGTAAAGAGGATGGACTTGAAAAATTACTAACTGTGCAAGTTTTGTGTACGGGTACAGCATAGATAGGCAGTGCTGTTTGGTGTGCTTGATTTGTGGGAAACCACCAAGCACCCAGGCTTGTGCAAACGTGAGATAAATAATCACATGCTCAGGAGAAGCACTGCTTATTAACCTATTGCACATGAACAGTGAGTCTGCTTTTTGGACATAAATGTGGTAAGACTGAAGATTAGTTCTGACACAAGGTTTGGCAATGCAAGGTGATTGCTCCTGGCAGGACATTGCAGAACCCACGGGTGTGAAATGCAGGCTGCAGAGCATAACCCCCAAACTGTGGTGCACAGCAAGGGGAAGGCCATGGGGCACCTGGAGCACCTCACAGCCTCAGCTAGGTGCAGCCTTGAGAGGACAGTGCAAGCAACATGCAATGAAGAGGCAAGCATCTTCTCCAAGCACACAGGAGCTTCGCACAAACCTGCTCTAGAGCATCCAAGTAGACCGACTGAGATCAGCCCAGCAGAAGAAGGGGATCTCAGCAGGCCTATTGCTTGCGTGTATTGCAGAAGGAACAAAAACTGATCTCTGTTTTGCAATGTCTAAATATTCTTCCATGCCCTCTTCCCTTTCTCAAAATCTGCACACATGCCATTGGAAGCTGAAAGAAAGTGCTTATCTGTTTATTTCAAAGCTGAGAATGGACCATAAAATAAGATCTAAGAAGCATTTAGTAGCTTATATATGTTGGCATCAAGTCAGGCAATTTCAGCTGTCATAAAGCGATAATGGATTAGAAGAGCAACTCCTTACAAACAGAAATATGCTGACAATGCTTTGCAGGCATAAAAAAATCTTGCAAGCACTTCCAGACCTGCTTAGTCAGGGTTCCTGTGTTCACATTATGCAGGGCACATGCAGAGCTACACAATAGACAAGCTGCTGTACAAGTGCAGCTTCTACAGTCCTAGAGAACCAGCCTCCTTGAAGCATGGGCAAAGGTAAAAGGAAGGGCGCCGTGAAGGATTTTACAAGGCTGGCTCATTTTCACCTTACCAAACATTCAGTGCACACTGCTGGCTCATGTCCAGCTTCTCATCCACCAGGACCCCCAAGTCCTTCTCCACAGGGCTGCTCTCAAGGAGATCTTCCCCCAGTAAGTAAAAAAAAACCTGGGATTGTCCAGACCCAAGTGCAGCACCCTGCACTTGGCCTTATTGAACCTCATTAGGTTTCCATGGGCCCATTTCTCCAGCCTGTCTAGGTCCCTCTGGATGGCTTCCCTTCCTTCTGATGTATCGACTGCATCGCTCAAGTTGGTGTCAACTGCAAACTCGCTGAGGGTGCACTCCATGCTATCGTCTGTGTCACTGATGAAGATGCTGAAGAGCACTGGTCCCAAGACTGCTCCCTGAGGGACACCGCTTGTGACTGGCCCCTGCCCTGGCACAGAACAACCCTTTGGCTGCGTCGAGCCAGCCAATTCCTAATCCATCGAACAGTCCATCCTTCAAATCCACACCTCTCCAATTTAGGAATGAGAAAACACGGGTTCATGAGAACTAGGGAGTTTTATGTTGTTGGTTTCTCCAAGGGACCTTTTAAACTTGAAAATGAGAGTAATACGTTCATGTTTTAAGCCAAGTTGAAAATAAGTTCTGGCAATTAATTGTTCTAAGAGACACATAAACATAATGAGCTGCCAAAAACATGCTAATTGCTTTGTCACTCAGAAAGAACCTAATCAATAAAGGGAGATCGGTTAAAGCAGAATAAAAAAATCATTGCTATAAATGCTCTGCAGGACTGACAGAAAGAACAGACCCAGGAAGACATGCACCACATTGGATGCCGTTGTACTGTGTTGTGTGGGTGTCAGTCAGGAAAGGTTTGTCTGTTGTTACCAAAACTTCCGAATTTTGCAATGGTCAGAGCTGTGGTTGTTCTGTATTTCTTCTTATGTGAGCATATTTAAAGCAAGAAACAAGTAACCCTGAAATAATAGCTTGCTGTTTTTGATAAAATTATTTGGCTTTTATTTCTTTTGATTCAAAAAATGGTTGATAATCACAAAGGCAGAAGGGATGACAAAAATGCCATGAAATGCAGGAGTTTTTTCTGTAGTGAATGCAGAACAACAGACATATTTGAAGGGCATTCCACCCTCTCCTAGTATCATAAGATGTGCATCAAAAGGGTTTATCTGAGGCTGTAAAATTCAGTATTTTCAAAGTCTAATGGGCTCTGCAGCCTCCTTGAGCACAAAGAGCCCTGTCTGCCCCCCACCAGCCCTATGATGGGGCTAGCCCTGGATCTGCTCCTGGGAAAACATCTGCATAAGGACAACAGCTGGTCTACGGGCACTGCCACCATCTCTGCTTGCCTCACATGGGACTGTGGGGCTGCACCCATTTGTCTCGCTCTAATTAAGATTAAGAAGCAACAGTTCAAATGTTGGTCCAACCAGTTTATTACAAATCTTAATCAGGGAGATGGGGAAGGAAAGGAGGGCGATGGAAAAAATAGGAAAGAAGCAAGAATTGCATAAAGTGGGGATAGTCACCACCAAGATCCAGCAGCAGTCCCATTGCATGCCATCCCAATGGTCTGAGGCAAAAGTGCAGGGGGAGAGCAGCAGCAGCATGACCAGCCTTGGGCAGCGAGCAAGTAGCAGGAAGAAGCCGCAGGGTGAGACCAGGAGAAAGCAGCAGGACTCAGGTAGCAGGCCCAGGAGAGTCCGTCAGCATGCAGGCATTCTGTAGTGAGAGACCTGATGGCAGACAGCTTTGTTCTGCTTCTTCAGCATGCAGGCATCATGTTGCGAAGAATCTGTTGTCAGAAACTTTTTGGGGAAGAGCAACAATAGCATGGCCAGCCCCAGGCGGGAAGATGGTGCAGCACAGAGCAATTCCAGCAGGGAGAGAGGCAGGTTGCAAGGCTTCCCATGTCAGAAAACCCCTTCTTCTTCATGAGGAATTTGTTGCCAGAAAACCTAATCTCATGGTTGTAGGTCCCCTTTTTATCCTTCTTCTTCTTCCAATGCGGCATTCCTGAGCACTGGGTAAGAGTAATGTGCAGTACCCCCTGAGAGGGCTATCTCCCTCAAGATAAGCCCGCACAGAAGACTGCTTCCCAGCCATTAATCTGCAGTTTATCTCTCTTTCGTTGCCCCTGGCCTTGTCCATCTGTGTCCCTCAGACAAAGGATTTTGCAACCCTTGCCCAGGACTTGTCTATCAGTGTTCTCCAGACACAGGATTTCTCAACCCTGGTTAAGGACTTTCTTGGACTCATTCATCTGTGTCCCCAGCAAGCTTCGAGGCACTGGCATAAAATAATAATCTCCACCATTGGAGACAGTGGCAGCAGGGCGTCCCCAGCCTCCAGGAGCAGCCATCTCCCCCAGAGCGTGATGTGGGGCCTGCAAGCACAACGTGCTGCTGAGGAGTGAATGATTGAACCCTTTCGTGTCTGTTTTCCAGGTCTGGATCTCCAGGTGGTGCATGTTGCTGCAGCCCTGTTCAGATCAGCACAGCAACACTAATGGAAGCCAGGTGCAGTGCTCCCATACCCACCAATCAAAAGCCACCCAGGCCAGCATCAGGCATTCAATCCCAACGCATACTGAAGTTTTATGACTCCTCCAGACTCCTTCAGACTAGCTTGGCCTCTTTCTATGTTAGCTTATAATATGGATAAATTAATTGTCTGCTGTTTCTCCATTAGCTCTTAACGTATTGAGTTATCACTATTCAAGCGTAATGATTTGCAGGGAACTTTATGCTTTTTCTACATGGATAATAATGGAGCCTGAGACAGGTGGGAAATATTTTAAACAACGTTTTATTAATAGTTTATCCTTTATTTATTTTTGAGCAGCTTCAGAAGGCCTAGAAGACCTATTTTACTTCTGCTGGATTATTTTTTTTTTCTGAGAAAGAGTGTTTCTCAGTCCTGTTGTCACCACAGGAGACTTCAAACATTTCATACAGCTGTATTTCCACATTTCAGATGGTCTGTTAAACATAATTTCCCTCATCCTTCCTTTCATACAGAAGGAATCTGTTTTGTAATTTTTTCACTTCCTACTTCTTATCTGATTGTTAAATACTTCTGCACAGTCTTTTAAAACCTTCCATGTTTCTAGACATGTGCACAGCTGACACCACCAGGATGAGGAGCTTGAGCTTTTGGATACTCTGCTTAAGGTATCATAGAGTGTCTCAGTTACTTCAGAACTTAAGCATCCAAAAATCATGATGCATATTTGAAGACATTAACCCAAATTTTGGTATATACTATGAAGTAACTAACATTAAAACTGTAATTTAGAGAGCTTTTATTTGCATTTCAATACACAATTCACTTTTACCTGCTCAAGGTGAGAAGTTTATTTTCCTCTCCAGAGGCTGTTATTTAGCTGTGTACAGTTTGACATCAGTGTGCCATTGTGCCGCTAACAGTTTCCAACAAAAATCCATGCAATGCAGTTATCTTTTCTTAATTTGAGCCTGCTCAGCATTTTGTTGTTTGCTTTTCAAACGTTTTCCTTGAAAAAGGTTTTGAAATCTCGTGGATGGCAACACTTCCTCTTTGTATCCATGTTATTCACACTTACCAATGGTGGTTACAGCAACCTTCTCCATCTGAGAATTGTAGTGCACACATAGCTTAAGTTAATGCACAGACAGATGGTAGGATGCAAAGAAATTGCCTGTGTTTTCTAGGTATCTACAGCTATTAT